TAAATAAATAAATAAATAAATAAATACAATCATCAATACATAAAGAAAGAAAGAAAGCCAGTGCAAATCATTTTAAAAATTCAAGTGAAAGTGGCTCTAATAGAAGCAACACTGCTATCTTTAACTTTGTACAAAAAGCTGAATCATTTAGGTGAAGGTAAACTTTAACCCTACGTTCAGAAATTACTCAGACTAGTAAGCATCTTTGTTTTCCGTCTCCGTGGGATCACCGTGACGTCATGCTCAAAAGGTGGTATTAATCTATTTTTAAAAAAGGGTTTCAAAATTTCTTTTACGAACATTTATGCATCAAATGTTTGTCTATGTATTAATGGGTAGATACTTATACACCAGGAGTGTGTTTATGTATAGTTGGGTAGAGGCTTCGCCACCGTGAATTACAAAGTTTTATCTGCTCAGTGCCTAGTTGTGAGATATTTAAAGTTACACATTTCGAGTTTCACAACAAGCCAAGCGTTTTAAAATCCTTTTGCATATCTTGATCACAACTCAGAATAATGTTACGGTTTGGATTGAGCAGATGGATAATCTTGTTTCGACCTAATTGTAAATCATAGTAAATCAAAACGGCAATAAATGTCATAATCCTTTGTAATTCTAAGATAGCCAGGTCTTGTCCCATGACAAAAGTCAGATAGTGGCGTGCTTTTTAAATATTTTACTGCATACGATTCCGCGGTCACTTCTCTAGAACTCTGTTTGACATGCGCCCATTTCCCAGTCTGGTTTCCTTCTCAAACCTGACCACGTACAAACTCATTCGACCAGGTATCTATCCCAAATTTGAAACTTCTTTCTGACGATGGAGAAAGTTAATTTTCAGTAACACATATCACTGGTGTAGCTTTTGAGGCATCAAATTGACCACTACGTTGTTTGTTCGCTGTGTCTTGCATTTACCAGTGGCTGGTCTTTGTTCCTGGCTGGGGTGTGACAGACGCTGGTGATTTCACAGCTAATGCGTACGGCGGTGGGTCAGGGAATGAGCCTTTTGTACTGAGGGGAGATCATATGAAACAGTGACGTTACATTGGTGGTGTGTTAGGTAGTGCTGTGGCTGTTGATGTTGTTATTGATGTCGTTGTTATTAGTACATGTACTGTTGTACGTGTTGTTGTTATTGTTAGTTTTGTTGTTGTTACTGTTGTTAGTGTTTCACAAAAGCAAGGCAAGCGAATAGGTTTTGAGATTATACCAAAAACCTAATATGCCACAAAATTGACAAGAGCCTGATTCCACCACATAGCGCTACATACTGTTTGAAGGTGTTGGTGATGTGATATCGTCCTTATTAATTTGTTGCCGTCATGAAACATTTACATAAACGTGTTATCGTTATTGTTTTCTTGATATTGATCTTTTGTATTTCGTGCTGGTGGTGTTGTTGTTCTCATGGAAAAATACACTGTGTGGCTCTAATTCCCAAACAATGAACCAAGCCCCCTTCCACTGCTTATATACCAATACACAAGTGCGCATGTACATACGTACTGCGTCTGTTTCATTGTAGAGCGCATCTTTTTAAATCTATTTAACGATTTGTCTAATCTTTAGCTGCATACGACCAGTATCTGAGTAGTTTCGAACTCCATCTGGCTTCCTCCCTGCTCCGGGGACAAGCGTGTAAGTGAAAGCTCTGACGAATTAAACAAATTAATCCGAATAGAAGGTCGCCTGTGCATCAATTTATTCCGTTAGAATTTGTATCGCCACCCCCCTCTCATTCTCTCTCTCTCTCTCTCTC